GCATAAAAACACGACATGTTTCATAGCAGACAGACTGAATCTCCACAGTGCATCGTAAAACTGAGACCAGCTTTTCCTTTAAAGTTTGTTTTTACATTAACTGATGCAAAAACATTTCCTAATTCACTTATTTTTAAATAAATAAATTAAACCTACATATATATCACACAGATTTTCACTCAATATGGGAGCGATTGAAGGAAACATATTTAATATTAAAATTATTATACATTTCTTGACAGAAACTTGTGTAAGGACAAGAAAAACTAAATATATATTTATACTTTTATTTCTTATAATGTCATCTTTGGTCCTCCGTATCCGACTAACAATTAAACAGAATTAAATTGTTTTAATTCGGTTTATTTCAACATTTCTTCATGCTAACGCCTCGTCACCATCTCAAATTTAATTGAATTTTCTGGATCTTGATTAAAAAGTTAATAAAAACTAGTGGAGGGACTTGATTAAAATGTGTAATTTTGTTAATTGGAGGATCTGTAATTAATTGAATGTTCATCAAACTATATTTCAACAAAATAAGCAACATTTTCTAATTAAAACCCTTTTTGCTGCTAGATTATTGAACAGATAGATGAACAACAACAAATGTATTTAGTGTTTATGAAAGCATCAGTTTGGTGCAGATTCAGTGTTTCAGGAACCTGATCATTGCTGGAACGAGCTAGCTGCTACATGTTTAGCATTCAGATGCTATTTCAGCCTTGAATGGCTTAGCGGCTAGGCTAACTCCTTTTAGCACAACTGGACCGCAGCAGTCGTCTTTTCCAGATCGGTTTAGTTAACCATAGAGAGACAAAAACAGCTTTTTGCTATTAGTGAATGTATCTTGTGCGTCAGATTTACAGGCGTATCGGAAACGTGCGAATGCAATGGTTCCACCGGGAGTGATGAAAAATGTTTAACACATTAAAATCTCAGTTACTAATTAATCTACAGAGACTTTAATGTGTTAATTAATGCTTTAACTTCTGGCCCTAATAAAAAGTTATGTATGAATCCAGTTATTGTTTATTCTACTGCAGAGACAGGAGTGGAGTTAGCAAGTTCACTGTGTATGAATGTGTTGTTTCTTCAAATATACTGATTAATTTTCCACAATCAAAACTCACACGTCACAACCAAGCATGTTATAGTTCACTGAAATTAATAAAATCTGCAATTTATGGGGAAAAAGTTTAATAAACTGGAACTATATTGTTTATTCATAACACTAATTAACACATACTTAATTTATAGACTTATCCATTTTGTTTTTCTGTTTATGAATCTATTTATTCACATTTTTACTGATTTACAGCAGATATGGGTAAATTACGCTGCTCCATAATCATGATACTTTGACCTTTTGGAATTCTGCACCTAAAATCTTAAGTATGAAAAACTAAAATTACTATTTTATCTAGTAAAAACTAGGCTAAAAAACAATCTTTAACCAATAATATGTAATTATTTGAGAACTTTTTCCTCTGGACGATTTTGATCGAGTTTGGTGAGTTTCTGAATATTAAAGGCTCCAAACATGAAGCATGAAGTGGCAGAAAAATTATAAGAAATTCCTCCCATTAGGATCCCAGTCCTCCCATTAGGATCCCAGTCCTCCCTCAGATCCCAGCAGAAAGGCTCAGGTTTCAGCAAAGAGCTTCACTGCAGCTGCCACTAATGACAGGGATGAGAAGTGTCAGGCCGAGCTAGCATTAGCATAATGGGTTTTTTAACGCCGCACCTTCGCCGCCGGGCCCGGTGGACGCTGGCGGCCCGCCGCCATTAGTGGCTGACTGGCGGCCGGCCAGAGCTCACGTTTCAATCCGCACAGAGCGGTCATTAACTCTTCATGCTGAAAGCGAATCTTAAAAAATAAAAAGATAATAACCGACTAAAGGGGGAGAAAAAATCCTAAATGTTTTCAGTTCTGCCAGATATGGTAATTTCCTAAAAGGTAAAGTTAGCGGGCGTCCAGGCATGACTTCAAACATAGTGCAGAAACATGCTGGCACAGCAGAAATAAATAAATTATTTAACAGACTAATTTATGTAAAGAGCCAAACAGTCACATTTACATGGACATATGGAGCAGGAACTGGTTTTAACTGGCTGCAAGCAAACAGAATCAACTTGTAAAAACGTCAAAATTCACTGCAAAAACACAACATGAGTTTAAAAGAAGACAACAGCAGTGGCGGAGCCAGAGGGGTGGCCGGGGTGGCACTTGCCACCCCCAGCAGAGCCCTGGCCACCCCTACTGCCACCCCACTGGAAATGGTTATTTTAAAATATAATACTTATGAGATCGGCGAAGATTTGCCAGGAAAACTGTAATTTCCGACTGTCCCTGAAGGCAGCCCGATGCCCGACGCTGTTCATTGGTTAAACTGACATGTGGGTCCTGCTTGTCAAACACATCAACTGCTTTAGAGAACACCGTCCAGGAGTTTTGCAGGTATTTACAGCATTTTACCTTCCTAATGAGAGGCGGCTCTTGTCATACATTTCTAAAAAGAAAACAAATGGTTGTGTACCGCTGCATAGTGCCTGTTTATTATATTAGCCATGCTAGTGCTGATAGATCGTGTTTTTAGACAGATTCTTTTAACACATGTTTTAGTGACATGCTGCCCTCTCTAATGTTTTATATCTCCCAGCTCTTGCTTGAAATGTGTGGTAAGAATATGAGAAAAACCATTAAGTTTTATAATGACTGAAATGTAAGTAGGCTATGTCATATGAAAGCTTTGAATTATAACCTCACTAGTTATATTAATTAATTTTGAACGAAAAGAAACAAATATTTTTTCCTTTCGTTCCATGGAACGGTCCATTTGTATATGGACCCTGAAAAGCCTTGCTCACGGCCCCCCACTAGCTCCGCACTGGACACTAACTTATAAGTAACTTTTCAGCAAGAAATAGAAGCTTGTTTTGCATCAATAATTCATTAATATTGATGTTTAACCATTTTAACATGGGAACGATGTCTTGTTATCTTTGAAATCATTTTGGTTTGGAACCAAAGTTGCAACATTTATTCCATTTCCAGCTGCTGTAATTTTCAAACCAAGCAAACCCTTTGAGCAGCCTGTTCCCCTCCTGGCCTGTGGGGGCGCTGCGCCACGAATCACTGAAGGAAATAACATGAAAACTTCTGAAGACACCGAGCGCCTTCTTCATGAAATGTAAACAGAAATGCAGTAGTCAGATTTAGCAAGAAGAAAGTGAAAATTTTCTGAAAAAAAATTCAAGTTTTTTTTTTTTTTTTTTTTTAGATTAATCTCTAAAACTTGGAAATTTCTGAGTTCCAAAAGTAAAAAAAATATTAAACCTTTTTTCTGAATTTCTGAAGTTTTTCTTGCAAAGTTTTGACTTTTCAAGCTCAGAAATTTCCTTGTTTTTCTAGAAAATATTAGATTAAAGTCTCTGGCTGAAAGTTTCTTCTGTTTTTTTCTGTCTGCAATCCGCCATCAGAGAAAAGACATAAAAACTGCCTTCGTGTTTGTTGCTTTTTTTTTTTTTTTTTGCAGATGTTCTGATTTTATTATTCCAGCTGTCAGAAATCAGTGAAACTCTGAAAACCAGAATCTGAGCTTTGAGTTGTTGAGGCTCATTTACAATCGCAGGAGTGAAACGTTAATAATTAGTACTCTTATCAAATGTTGAAATCTGAATCTGGAAACATGTGAAATATTCATCTGGAGAACATGTGGAGGCTGTTTTTCACATGAGCTCAGGCTCACCTGTTGTGCTGCTGCTTCATCTGATGCTCCTCAGATCAGACAGACCCTCCTTCCTTCCTCTGGACGTCTGCAAATGTCTCAACTCTGCTGCTGCTGTTTGCCTGCAGGCTGCCTGACTCTGCAGTCCCTCCACTACTTTACACTGTGTGTGTGTGGGGGGGGGGGTGCGTGTGTGTGTGTGTGTGTGTGTGGGGGGGGGGTGTGTGTGTGTGTGTGTGTGGGGGTGTGTGTGTGTGTGTGTGTGTGGGGTGTGTGTGTGTGTGTGTGTGGGGGTGTGTGCGTGCGTGTGTGTGTGTGTGTGTGTGTGTGTGTGTGTGTGTCCACTGTAAGATGGGAAAAGTTCCCCATTGAGGCAGCAAACACTTTTGAATTTTCCAGTGTATTGATAAGTCATATTAACAAACTGTTCAAGTATTAATAAATATCTGTTCCTGCATTCGATGAGTTCCTCTTAATATGAAATCATTCTGAATATCTTTAACGTTGATCAATCCATTCAGGATTTTGCCGTTATTTTGGTGAAAGTGTTTTTGGTTATTTTTGGTTTCTTTGTTCTTCCATTTGAAAAAACAGTCCAGAAATATTTCTGGCAATAAGTTCATATTTATTGGTGTTTGGAAAATGAGCCTTTTCAAAAACCTCCCAATTGGTCAGTCACGTTCCACCGTTACCTAGCAACCCCAGGAGAGCGCCGCTCGTTTGGCCTCCTGATTTTATTGCTGCTGTACAATGGCTGCTGGAAAAGACAAGTGTTTTGTTGTTGACTTACCGTCCAGAAAACACTGGCTGCATTCTTGTTGGTTGCGCAGGAGGCTCCACTTCTGCTTTTCAAAGATGTGTGTATAACTGCTCATCTGTTGCAGCCGTCCTCGGGTGGGACTGTAAACGTTGAGGTGGCAGCAGCTCATTTGGATTTGAAGCTCATTTTGACAGGAAATCTCATCACCTCTGAAGGTCGTTTGTGCAAAAAAGTGAAGATGTTTCGTTTGACTCTTCATCATCGGTAACGTCACATATATGACACAGAGACGGATATTATTATTGTGAACCACAATCCCAAACAGAATGAAGTTTTGTGACTCTAAATGCTGAGAGGAGAAATCTTTCCATGTCTGGGTTTCATGTCGGCAGCAGTAACTTGCTGTTCACCAAGGTCAGCCCGCTGACAGGAAACGTGTTTCCAGGTCGGAAACCCCTGAAGTTTTTCATTTTGAGCAATGCGCCATATTACAATTTTAGGTCGACGCAATGAAGCCTGCTGCTCTGAAAATATGCGAAGTGACAGAGGACAAAACAGCCCAAAGGCTTCACCTTGTAAAGAGCCACTCCGCTTTGCTTGTGGTTGTTGTTGGCAGGTACGTTTCATATATATTCATATGCTTTGGATAAAAGCTGGCTGCTGTCTGAGCCGTGTTGGTTTAATGTTTCATTAAATTCCTCCTGACAGCTGCAGAAACTTCAGCTTCCTCCTGACCGCTCCACACTTTTCAGAAACAACAGCCCCCCATCAACCTGCGCCCCCCATCAACCTGCGCTCCCCCATCAGCCTGCGCCCCCCATCAACCTGCGCTCCCCATCAACCTGCGCTCCCCCATCAACCTGCGCCCCCCGTCAACCTGCGCTCCCCGTCAGCCTGCGCCCCCCATCAGCCTGCGCTCCCCCATCAGCCTGCGCTCCCCCATCAACCTGCGCTCCCCCATCAGCCTGCGCTCCCCATCAACCTGCGCTCCCCCATCAACCTGCGCTCCCCGTCAGCCTGCGCTCCCCTCAGCCTGTGCTCCCCCATCAGCCTGCGCTCCCCCATCAGCCTGCGCTCCCCGTCAGCCTGCGCTCCCCCATCAACCTGCGCTCCCCATCAGCCTGCGCCCCCCCATCAACCTGCGCTCCCCATCAGCCTGCGCCCCCCCAGCTGCAGCCGCTGCTCTCCTTCCCGCCTTTCATCCTGTGTGGACCTTGAAAGTTAACACTTATTTTTAGCCTTCTTTTTGCAGAGGTGCCATTCCCAATGCATAATGAGGGCCGGGTGCTCATTACCGTAACTGGGAGATAGTGAACTGTCACGAACGGCTGAAACAAATGTAGAGCAGACCCCCACCGTCTCCCAAATGAAAATAATTACACTCCAGAGCCCCCTCACCTTGTTCTCATTACTCACTGGCTACCAGGTTCCACAGAGACTCCGGCTTTCTGAAACAAAAGACCCACCGCAGCTCCACAGCCCTTTGTTTACAGGAAGAAAACAACAAACTGAACTTAAATGTGTGAGAGGAGCCAAAAAGATCAGCGAGCCTCAACCAGGTTACAGATTAATCTGACCATTAATCGATTGATTGATTGATTGATTCAATAGGGATGAAACTGTCAATCACCCTAAATTCATTCTAATGATTATTTTGGTGACTCATCACATTGGGCTGCAACTCATCATTATTTTAGTTATCGATTAGTCTGTCGATTATTATAAGTATTAATTGATTAATCAGATTTGGTTGCACTGTGCAATAATCTAGTGGAACATCAACACAGATTATGGATGAATAAGTTTGACCTATTTTTCTTTTGCCGTTAAGGTTTCAGACTGAAGGCGGCAGATTCACTCAGATCTCGGTTTGTTTTCATTCAGTCGGGTCCAAACTGGGAATTTTGGGCGTCGAACCAAAACAAGGCCGTTATATTTCGGTTGAACCAGGGAAGCTCCGTCGCTTTCATGTGAAATATAACATATTTACACTCTGTGCAGTGAAAATGCCTGTGGGAGAAATCGCCAACACTCAGTTAGTGGCGAGAGAGAGAAAGATGTCGGGGAAAGTTTCATCCTGCGGCGGTTTCTCCATTCGCAGCTTCACGACTAAATCATTAGTCGAGTAAAGGAAACTACTGAAGAGAGAAAAATACACCAACAGATTTACTTTGCAGACGTTTGGTGTCGTCATTCGTTACCAAAGTGACAAAGATTAAAACGTCTTTAAAGACAGGAAGTGAGTCTGTCCCGAGCCTCCAGAATGTAAAAGAGATTAAAACCTCTTGCGGCGAAAAGCCTTTGTCTCCTTCTCTGTCATCAGGAAATGATTTATTCTGAGTGAGAGCGCGGCTCGCAGCGTGGAGCCGAAGACTCATGACTTATTTAGAAAAGCAGCCATTGATTATTGATTGCAGACCTTTTTGTTCTCTTAGTGTCAGAACTTCAAATGCAGAGCAGGAATCAGCGACTCGACTTCGGGACGTTTCCTGGTAATTGTTGGATGAATTTGTCCCTGAAGCAAATTCATGAAGTTAAGATGCAATTCAGAGAAAGTATCCTGGCAAAACCGTCGAATGAACCTATTTAGCCGTAAAAAAAACTGAATTAACATCCAGAATTTGTTGCATAAAAGTTTGGAAGAGAAACTATAAGATCATTTGATTCTTATTATAAGAATCAAAAACTCTTCATTAATTTGACTAAAAAGTGTTTTTTATGTACTATGAATTCATTATTTTAAAAATCTCTTTTTAGGGGTGTTAGTGTAGAAGGGGCCACATATTTGTAATTTTTCTAGCAAATAGTTAATATTAGTGGAGAAGAAACGTGAAAAAGCTCAGATTAAATGCAACATTTTTGGGCGTTTTTGTGGAAACAGGTATTTGCTCTGCAGCAGAGGCTTTCAAGGAGGAAGTTAGAAACAATTCAGTTTATTTCTATCGCGCTAATTCACAACCGATGACGTCCTGAGGCTTTTTGCTAAAAAAAGAGACGGAATCAGAACTGGATCAGCAGAGCTGCTCCATTTTGTCTCCGCCATAAATCAGGAGAATTGGTGAAGAAAAGCCTAGAAAGTAAGTTTCTGTTGGCTCGTCTGCAGGAAGTGCCTGCTGTGAACATTTACTTCACGGACCAACTTCTGTCTGCAGGGAACAGCGTCTTCCTCCACGCCTGGAACCATGGATCAAAAATTTAAAGCAATCTGTCCAGCAGTTCCTGAGCCGCGCCGCTGCCAGCAGAACAGAAGAACCTGCCAACCCGGCTAAAAACATCCAGCAGGTAAAATTCTTCTTCTTTTGGTCCAAACAAAACGGGGAGGAAAGCTGGGATGCTTGCGGGCAGATTGACCGGCTTGGACAATGGATGAGCGGACAGCGAGAGCCAGCTGGAGGAAGAGAGAGGAAGAGAGAGGAAGTCTTCCCTGCAGCCACGGCGCCTCAGGTTTCTGTCCTGATCCAGATTAATTGGCCAGACGGGTCAAAGCGACTGACCAGCGCTGGGGAAGCAGCAGCGCCGGCCTCATTTTCCATTCCACTAAGTTCATGCATGAAGAGGTTTTTCATGGCTGCTAAATGTAGATAGCTAAACTGAACAAATGTGAAGGTCAATAAAATGAGTAAAACTCCTGAAAGTCCTGTCATAAAGCCAGTCAGGTGGAGCTGAAGCACAGTCCAAACGATCTTATATCACGGTGAATTATAGACTCAAATCAAGGACGTCGCCTCCTTGATCGTGACGAGAAACTCCAAGTTTATGGTCTGAATTTCTGCAGATTCTATTAAAGCTCAGTCATGGAATTACAACCAATCAATGTCAAACGATTCATCAGATTGGATCAAATGTTGAAATAATAGTCAACTAATTTCGATTAAACGTTAACTGAGAGTCAAAAATGGACATTCTCTGTCTTTTTGCAGGAGGACTCAGGATTTCAGATCTGTGTCCATTTATTTTACATGTTGTGAAGAAGGATCAGGAAAGCTAAGCTAACATCAAACCATCAGGTGGTTAGAAGTGATTCCTTTTATACCTCATGAGTTCAAAAGTCACGACTCATTTATTGAACCTAAAAGTGAATATATGGAGAAACTAAAGCATTAGGGTGATGGCAAAGAGGCTTTCCAGCTGAACAGACTCAGATCTTCTTAGAGATTTGAGCTGCAGCTAACGATTAATCAATTATTCTGGTGATTAATCGCTTAAGAAATTGGCACATTCTGCAGATTTGTCATGATTTTAAAAATAATAAAATAAACATGGCATTTTCTAAAATAACATTTTAGTTAACGTTTGATCATTTTCGAGTCTCTTTCTCCTGCTTCTCGTTGTTCCGCGTTTCACTGCACAGTCTGAGCACAAAAGCTGCCAAACACACTTTCAGGTGTGATATTTACCTCTGGAGATTTGACGAGATCCTGGCGAAGTGAGATCTGCATTTCCACTGCCCTGCAAGCGCAGATCTAATTTAAGTGACAGCACTGTGCAAGCTGTGATTTGTAATTAAACTGTAGGCTGGGACATAATTGGTATTTCATCACAAGACGAGCATGGCAGCCTTTTCCATCCAAGATGAGCAGGTGGATGGAGCCTCAGTTCATTTTCAGTTTATTTTCCAAAGTAAATCAACCAGAGAAGATTCTCTTCTCTCTCTTTTCTCTCCGTCTTTGTCAATAAGTGGCGTTGCGTAATCCCTGAGGATCGTCTGTGAAGCAGCGCTGTTGGATCCTCACCGCAGTTAAGTTGAACTTTTTCCTCTAAATTATCTCGCTGACAGAAAAGCTCAGCGGAAACGAGACGACAGATTATTTGAACACATCTGTGTGGTTATTTTTAGAGATGCACGAAAATGTATTTCCTTAAACCGATAATAGTTTTCTCATTCCAAAGGTCGATAATAACCGATAAAATCAGAAAAGCCGTGACAGCAATGCTCTAAAAAAACAAAAACAGATTCACCCAAATAACATTTTGAAATGAGGAATTACTAATCCAACATTTGTCAAATTATATGAGCAGACCATCATATCTCATATGAGCTTCTGTTTAAGGCTCGTTATTAACTGATGTAAGAAAAGAAAACAAAGTCGTCATCTGTTCACATTTCATAGAGAAACTGGTGATGAGATTATAATCTAATCCAGTTTATTTCACCTTCTGTAATTAATCACATTGTAGTAGAAAACTATAAGCAACATTTTTTTATTCAAAAACCATTTTAGCTGCTAAATTATTGAAAAGACAAACACATGAGCTCCACCACAGCATATCTATTGGTTTTATTCAGCTGTCAGATTGTGTTTCTGGACGTTAATCTACCTGCATTTCATGCTTTCCTGGGATTAACATGGGAGCAGCGGCAAAGTGGCAGCTGTTTGGGAGGCGTTGCTGACTCTGCTTCCAGATGTTTTATTTCTCTTGTTCTTAATGTTCTGAGCTCGGATCTTGTGAGTCTAGAGAAACTATTTTTTGTTGATGAAGCGCGGGAATTCAAAGCCACGTTAAAGTCTCCTAATTTTGGTCATTATTTAGTTAAAATCAGAGCATTTAACATGCAGCTAAATGCAGTGAAGCTTTTCATTTTGGTTGTTGTCTTTGTCTAAGTGAAGAACAGTAAAGTCTCAAAGATTGATGTTTAGTACTTTTGAGAAATGGAAACAAGGTTCATGAGAATTAAAAGTCATGGAAACCATAAATATTAAACAGTAAAATCAGAACAGGATGGATTTATGTCATAAACCAAATTATTAAGAGTCTGAGGAAACAGAAAGTGTCTCTGGATAAATTGTCTCAATAACTATGGAGGCTTCAAGCACTAAAAACATTTACAAATTCAATTAATGTAAAAATATGACAGAGCAGTGTGCAGAGGGAAATACAAATTAAAGCTAATATCTAAAGTTATTATTCTCCTTACAGCACTGTTTTCATTTATAAACCAGATTTAGATAAAACCTGATGCTTCAGATGCTGCAGAACAAATATTCACTTTGCTGCTGTCGTTACGGATAATTCATGTAGAGAAAAGCATTTTGAGATGAAAATTAAAACTCTAATCTTGATAATTGAGTTTCTTTTTTCTGTCAAGACGGAACAATTTGCAAGTTTGAAAAGATCAGAAAATCTTAGCTTCTTTTCTGTGAGGGCCTTTTACTCCAACGACAAACATGATGATAATTTTAATGTTTTCTCCAAACTGCAGATGACAGTTTGCTGCTAAACTGA